ATATGTATATATATCAAGGGGACAGAAAAGAGATTTTAGAAATAAACCCTTCCACTTATGGTAGACTGATTTTCAACAAAGGTGTCAAGTCAATAAAATGAAGAAATGGAACAAATGGTGCTGGAACAATTGCGTATCCACGTACAAGAAGAAAATTCAGAGCCTTACCTCACACCATACACAAAAATTAACTCCAAATGGATCCTAGTCCAAAATATAAGAGCTAAAACTATAAACTTCTGGAACAAAACTTAAGAGTAATTGTTTGTGACCTCGGTTTAGGCAAAGATTCTATGGCATCAAAAGTATAGTGCATAAAAGGATAAATTCACAAATTGAACTTTATAAAAATTAAAAACACTTCTGTTCTTCAAAAGGCATCATTAACTAAATGAAAAAATAAGTCATAGATTGGGAGAAAACGTTTGTAATTCATATATCTGATTAAAAAACTTGTGACAACTCAATAATAAGAGAGCAAACTTCTCCATTTGAAATGGGCAAGAGATTTGAATAGACATTTCACCAAAGAAGATACATAAAGGGCTGTCTTAGTTATCCCTTTTGTCACATTTTTCCTTCTTTTTTTTTTTTAGCCGCATGTATTTTCAGTATTGGAATGCATCCTTACGGTGAAGTTCGGAGTCAGGTCAGCTGAGCTTCACACATTTCAAAAGGGACCATACTTGATGCTAAATGCGTTGTTGTTGTGTGCCGTTGAGTCGATTTCGGCTCATAGAGACCCTATATGACAGAGTAGAACTGCCCCATAGGGTTTCCAAGGAGCATCTGGTGGATGTGAACCTCTGACTTTTTGGTTAGCAGCCTGAGTTCTTAACCACTGCGCCACGAGGGCTCCCTAAATGCTTTAGAACTGTAATAGTGCCTTACCCCTGAGGTCCAGAGGCATAAAATGTGGCTGGCATTCTGTTTATGCCAGTGATAACAAAAGAGTTGTCTTCTATTGCTATAATAGAAATACCACAAGTGGATGGCTTTAGCAAACAGAAGTTTATTTTCTCATAGTTAAGAAGATAGAAGTCTAAATTCAGGGCACTGGCTCTAGGGGAAGATCCTCGTCTCTGTCTGCTCTGGGGGAAGGTCGTCTCTTCAGCTTCTGTTTCTTGGCCCCTTTGATCTTCGTGTGGCATCCGTCTTCCCTCATCCCTGTTCTTCAGCTGCTGCTTCATCTGCTCTTTTATATATATCTCAAAAGAGATTGGTTTAAGATATACCCTACGCTAACATTACCTCATTAACATAAAGAAAAGCCATTCCCAAATGGGGTTATAACCACAGGCGTAGGAGTTAGGATTCACAAGACATATTCGGGGTTTGGGGGGACACAGTTCAATCCATAACAATGGCTAATAAGCACATGAAAAGATGTTCAACAATATTAATCTGTAGAGAAATATAAACTAAAATTACGAGGTGCCACTATACACCCAGTAGAATGGCTCCAGTCAGGAACACTGGTCATACCAGATTCTGATGAGGATGGTGAGGATGTGGAAAAGCTGGGTCCCTCACACATTGCTTGTGGGAGTGGAACGTACAGTCACTTTGGAAAGCATTCCCGCAGTTTCTTAAGAAGTCAGATAAACACGTGGTAGGCAGTTTCTAAGGAGCCCTTGTGGTGCAGTGGTTAAGAGCTCAGGCTGCCAACCAAAAGGTCGACAGATTGAATCCACCAGCCGATCCTTGGAAACCCCATGGGGCAGTTCTACTCTGCCTTATAGAATCGCTGTGAGTCGGACTTGACTTGATGGCTGCAGGTTTTATGTTACACCAAGGTGGGTAACTAATACAGTACACTTACCTTGTGTCTCCACACGTGTATCCAAAAGAAGTGAAAACGCAAAGGCTTGTCCGTGAGCGTTCATAGCAACAGTGTTCGTAATGGCCCCGAACTGCAGACAATCCCAGTGTCGATCAGCTGGTGATTGGATAAATAAAATGCAGTAAAACCATACAGTGCAACATCGTTGTTTGTCGTCTAGTTGATTTCGACCCATAGCGACCCCATGTGACCGAGTAGAGCTGCCCCATAGGGTTTCCTCGGCCGTGATCTTTATGGGAACAGATCACCAGGTCTTTCTCCCACAGAGCCACCACTGGTTAAGTTAGCAGCCACGTGCTTAACTGTTGCGACACCAGGGCCCTGTAATGCAACAGTACTCCGCAGCACAGAGGCGCAAGCTACGGATAGATGCAACAATGCAAAGGGAAGGAAGCCAGGCGTAGGGTATTCACGCTAGCATATGATTCCCCTCATAGGAAGTTCTAATAAAAGACAGCACTCTAGAGAGAAAGCCAATCAGTCGTTTTGCTGCTACTGCAGCTGGGGATTGGCTGCAAATCGGTTTGAGGAAACATTTTGAGGTGGTTCTAGAGTTCTAAAACTGGATTTGTGGTTGCCCAACTCTAAAAAATTTTCTAAAAATTCACAAACTGTCCCATCACTATGGGTAAATTGTAGGATATGTAAGTTACACCCGTTGTTGTTGGGTGCCATTGAGTTGATTCTGACTCATAGGGACCCCATGGGACTGCTGTGTAGAACTGCCCCATAGGGTTTCCAAGGCTGTAATCTCTATGGAAGCAGATCACCAGGTCTTTCTCCCTCAGAGCCACTGGGTGGATTTGAACCACCAGCCTTTCCATCAGTAGATGAGCACTTAACTGTTGCATCACCAGGACTCCTTATGCCTCAGTACAGCTATGAGAAATGAATCTATCTAAGGGAATACATGGTTAAGAGCTCGGCTGCTAACCAAAACGCCAGCAGTTCGAATCCACCAGCTGCTGCTTGGAAACCCCGTGGGGTACTTCTGCTCTGCCCTGTAGGGTCACTGTGAGTCAAATCGATCGACGACAGTGGGCTAGCTAAGAGAATACAGCTTCAATCGCCTGCTTTTGCCCTCTCTAACCTTCGCAGATAAGGAGGTTTTCATTCAGCCCAGTTTATCCCCTTCTCGTGTGGTTACAGCCACGTCCCTGTTTTTGTACACAGCTGCCCACCACGCTCCAGAGATGTTTCTCAAGTCCTCCCTCCTCACCCCTCACCTGCCTGTTTGGGGTTTTCTTTTGGCATTTTGGGCATATCCGCCTGCTGAGAGTTGTCAACTCTGACTCCTGGTGACCCCATATGTGTCAGAGTAGAACTGCACTCCATAGGGTTTTCTTTCTCCCCACCCCCCCAAATTTTATTTAGTTTGTTGTTGTTGGGAATATACACAGCAAAATGTATACCGATTCAACAGTTTCTACCTGTACAATTTAGTGGATTGATTACATTCTTTTAGTTGTGAAACCTTTCTCACGCTCCATTTCTGAGTTGTTCCTCCCTCATGAACGTAAACTCACTGCCCCTTAAGGTTCCTATCTAATCTTCTGAGTTGCTCTTGTCAATTTGATCCCATGTAGATAGTTCGTAAAAGAGCATAGCTCAAGGCAGACATTTTTTTTTACTAATTAAGTTAAACTGTTGCTTGGTTTTAAGATGATTTCAGGGAATATTTTGGTTTAATGTTTAAAGATTATCTCAGGACAGTAGTTTCAGGGATTCATTCACCCTCCATGGCTTCCATAGGGTTTTCAGTGGCTGATTTTTAGGAAGTAGATTGCCAGGCCTTTCTTCTGAGGTGCCTCTGGGTAGACTCAAGTCTCCAACTTTTCTGTTCGTACCTCTGGGGACTCCTTTGGGCGTAGAGATGTGACTATTGGACGTTTTGTAGACGTCTTGGCATTATTTTGGATGCATTTCACTTTTCTGGTTTGTCTTGAGGAGCTCTGCTGACGCAACGTTAAACACTCTGCTGCTAAACTGAAGGATTGCGGGTCCAACCCAGCCGCTCCTCGGGGGGAGACCCGGTGGTCCGCTCCCATGAAGATCGTAGCCTAGAAAACCCTGTGGGGCAGTTCTGCTCTGTCCTGTAGGGTTGCTATGAGTTGGAATTGACTTGACGGCATCTAACAACAGCATTTTTGTCTTGTTCTTTTCCATGACTTCATTTATCCAAAACGACTGGCACATTTTAATGTGTAATTATCCAGCTCTTCACACGCAGACACGGGCTCCCTGAGCTGCAGTTAATCACTTCTAGAATCTGTGTGAATAGAGGAAAGATGCTCTGAATTTATTTGTTTCCGCTAGATGCCCTCTTGTGTCTCCTACAGTTCATTTCCAACTGTGAAAAACAAGGGTGTGCTTCGTTGCCTTCATTTCTCCCTCCCTGAGCAATCGCGGAATTATCAGAGCGCTGAATTGCAAGGATGTTTCTCTTTGGTGTTCTCTGCTAGTTAACTCTCAGAGGCTATCATCTAATATATGAATTCCCTCAGCTGATACTCAGAACTTTGCCAGCTCAGTTAGACCTGTATGGCCAGTATTTCTTTAGAGGGGCCTGGAAAATAACCATTTTTCTGCCTTTTTACAGAAGTCATAATATTAACTTAAATGGTAATAAATATAAAAAGGAACACATCCCGTTTTTACAGCACCGTGGCGGAGGACTCTCCAGAGGTAAGACCATGGACCGTAGAAGCCACAAGTGATGCATTTGGAGTGATCCACTTGGGGTGTTAAAAAGTGATTGGAAACTCAAAAGCGGAGAGCCTCGAGTTAGAGCAAAGAAAGTGGAAAAGATTTTCCTTCTTGGTTTTTGATTTCCATGTTGTTGTTGGGTGCCATCAAGTTGATTGTAATTCATAGCAACCCCATGTGACAGAGTAGAACTGCACCATAGGTTTCTAGGCTGTAATCTTTACAGGAGCAGATCACGAGGTCTTCCCTGCAGAATCGCTGGGTGGGTTCAAGCCACCAACCCTTTGGTTAGCAGCCGAGCACTTAACCTGTTGCACCACCAAGGCTTCACTTGATTCCCATAAACAGTATCAAATACTGAAGCAAAGCAGTTGCTTCACAAGTTCAAATGCTATTCTGAGGCGAACATCTTTGCTGACCAAGAGGTCATAATGATGTCTTCTTCCCGCAGGCTCGGCCAGTGGATTACCCTAAGGATTACCTTGCCCACCAAGTTCCCATCTCGTTCCACAAACACTGGAACATCGATCCGGTGAAGGTGTATTTCACGTGGTTGGCACCCAGTGAGAAAGACAGAGCCAGGCAGGAGACACAAGCGCGCTTTAAAGAAGAGTTGTAAAGTGTGGTGATGCTGTGAGCATAGTCGGGCAGTGAACGGGCATGGAAACCTCGGCATCGTCCACCCGCTGTGCTGGGCTCGTTCTGACTGTGGGTGGAAATGATGTAGATGATTTTTTTTTTTTTTTAAATGAGAGGAGAGGAAAAGGAGTTATAAAGAAGCAGAGACATTTTATTGTCCCCTGGGAAAAATCTGTTGCTTTTGAATTATGCAGTTATTGTAATAGGAAGTGATGACTGTGTGTTTTCAAGCTGTGCCCCAGCAGCTTTATGACCGTCAGCAGGAAAATAAATGGTATCAGAAGTCCCTTTTCTGTTCCTTCTCTTCATTATTATAATGAAGGTTTCAGTTGGGCATGACTGTCTGTCATTCTATAGATACGTAAAGAAGAGTGAAAGTCCTTTGACGTGGTGTTGGCCAAGAATACCGAGTATACTGCGGACTGCCAGAAGAACGAACAAATCTGTCTTGGAAGAGAAACAGCCAGAACGCTCCTTAGAAGCAAGGATGGCGAGACTCGGTCTCACGTACTTGGGACATGTTATCAGGAGGAATCAGTCCCTGGAGAAGGACATCATGCTTGGTAAAGTAGAGAGTCAGCAAAAAAGAGGAAGACCCTCAACGAGATGGATTGACACAGTGGCTGCAACAATGGGCTCAAGCATAACAACGATTGTGAGCATGGCACAGGACCGGGCAGTATTTTGTTCTGTTGTACACGGGGTCGCTGTGAGTCAGAAGCAACTCGACAGCACCTAACAACAATAATAGCATGAACTTTTAAACCAACTTATTGATAATGAAAATTATTTCCTGGGAACTTAGTAGGATTAATGCTGTATTAAGAGCCGTTCTTTAAGCATCGTGAAAGTCTAGATGTGAAGTGTTCTGTAATCAGGCTGGTATGTTTTATCTATGCTTTTGCTGTTTGTGCCTCATAAAAAGACAGTAAGACATATTCCGCTAGAGCAGTGCATTTCTTTGGAGGTTCATCTGTGTTCCGTTTCTCTCTGAAACCCTCTTTATGGCCAGCTTGTACTACCACCGTGTCCTGGATGCTACCAGAAAAGAGCATCCGCCATATTTCAATGCCACGTGGAAGCATTTCACTCACGTCAGCTCTGTGTAGGTCTCAGGAAGTAAATGGCAGCTGTAACTGATGTTTGACTCATTTTTCCTCAAGTGTTACTTAATGGCTCTCAGATCGTCCCAGAGCTCCATGAAACCCTCGTGAGTGGACTGCATGTGGATTTGGCCATTTCACCGGGCTCTTAACAAATGAAATTTGAACATAGCATATTGAAACAGCTCTAATGTTCAAACCATATCTTTAATATATAGTAATTTAACACATTCAGTAGTAATATGTAAAAAGCACTCTGGATTTTAATGTTTTTCTATTATACATTTCTGTTTTGTAAAAGCATTTGCATAAAATTTGATTTTAATATGTCTTAAGCTAATTTTGGCAGAGTTAAATACTTTTATTTTAATAAAAAGCACTCTTCATTAACCTGGCTTGTAATGCATTTATAGCCCAGCGCAGGGTCTTAACAGCCATACCACCAAAAGTACCTATGTCTGTTTCCTTAACAATCTGTTTTTCTTGTAGCTTAGATTTGACTAGTTGCGTGGTGGTGCAGTGGTTAAATGCTCGGCTGCTAACCGAAAGATTGGCAGTTGGAACCTACTTTGCAGCTCTGTGGGAGAAAGATGTGGCAGTCTGCTTCTCTAAAGATTACAGCCTTGGAAACCCCATGGGGCAGCTGCTCTGTCACATGGGGTTGCTATGAGTCGGAATCGACTCAGTGGCAATGGTTTTTTGTTTTGTTTTTTTTGTTGTTTTTTTAGATTAGACTCATTTCCATAATAATGTGATAGCGTTTATCAGTTTCCAGAATTAGCAAATGTCAGGATGGTTGTGTTTCAGGATAGCTGCGTGCACTGGATTCCTTTTGGGGAATGTGGCTTTTGTGGCTTGTGTACCTAATGAATGAGGGACCATCACCTGGGGGAAGGGCACGAGTAGGGTCTTCAGGTCTTGTCACCTGCTGCTGCTGGCATCAGCCCTGTTGCCACTGTAGCTTACCACCACCTTCCTGACATCTGCAGTAACACTCGTGGAGGGCCCTGGCTGCCTCAGCCGGTGGAGAAGAGCCTTCGTTATGTCTGCTCCCCACCACATGTTACCACCCAGACAGCAGCAGGGTGATCTGAGAGTGTGGGAGCACCATTGTGGACGAAGATCCCACGACAGCCTTTCTCCTCTGTCAGCATCGGTGCCTTCTGCTGACACCAGAGCGCCTCCTCTGGGTCGCTTAGTTGTGTTAATTATGTTTACTTGTTGGAACTGTGTAAGCCTAACCATGAATAAAGATACTTGCCTAAGTTTCTCATTTCTCAAATGTTGTATTCATTCGTGCAGCCTGTAGCGGGGATAGGAGCCCTGGTGGCTCAGTGGTTCAGAGCTCGACTGCTAACCTAAAGGTCAGTGGTTTGAACCCACCAGCCACTTGGCAGGAGAAAGATGTTGCAGCCTGCTTCCTTAAAGACTACAGCCTTGGAAACGCTATGGGACAATTCCAGTCTATTCCATAGGGTCGCTATGAGTCAGAATGGGTTTGGTTCTGGTTTGGGTAGTGGGGATAGGGAGGGGTATTGGGAAAAGGAAGTAATGAAATCAGAAAAAAAGCAGTTCAGCAAAAACAGTTTTAAGAGATAAAAGTTAAGAAAAAGACACCCTTTTCTGAGAAAACCAGCAGAAGTTGAAAGTACATTATGCGGTCTAAACCGCCATTATCTTTCTTTTTGTTTTTTTTATTTTTTTATTGTACTTCAGGTGAAGGCTTACAGAACAAATAGTTTCTCATGAAACAGTAGTACACATACCGTTTTATGACATTGGTTAACAACCCCACA